AAGTCTTCACTGTTTTCGTTGTGCTTTTCATCATCAGCAGCGAGTGTAACGTTTTGCTTGTGAGCAGCGACCATTACTGGTGATTGGTGTTTGCCATTGCTCTAACTCTGACTGCGTGAAAAAACGATCTGTCAGCGATAGTCGGTTGGTGCGAAGACGAGTGTCACGTGAGTGTCATGATATTTTGCATCACTGGCTCTCATATTTTATTCAGTTACCTTTCTGAAATTTTTTGCAGTGCGTTTTTGTATATTTTAAAGGCATTGTTAAGGTTTATTTTTGACTTTTTCAAGGTTTTGTAAGTCCTTATATGCTGTTGTAGTTACACTTTACTATTACCGTTGCGAGTACGTTAAACTTGGTCATTTTCAGCAAAAATTGTCGTTCTATTTTTTTTTTCAAATTTTGACCTTAATGCCAAGGCTAATAGGAACATTAAAAAGGTTTAAAACATAAGTAAAGATTGGAACAAAAGCGCACACAACTATTTTGACAAGCGAGCACAGGATTGTGAACGGAATGACGACTTGTGCGACGGATTGAGCATGTCAACCCTGTCCTAAAGTACCGCCAGTCCGGGTGACAGGAAATGATGCCGAACATTCAACGTATTTTAAAAATTATATAAAGGACAATCCCGAATTTATTGCAGCGCACATAAACCACGGTAACAAATGACTTGAAATTTTCAGAGAAGATTCTTACACAAATTCATAGTAAGACAACAATAGACCAAGGTTCTATGGCAAATTAGTATCCACTTTTCAATTAGGGAATCCAAAAGCTGTCTTTAAACTTTGTACAGTTGCGAAAAAGTCCATCCTCAGAATTCCTTGAGGTTCCTTTCAAAATATTTAGAACCTAATGAGCTCTTTTGAAATTCTTCTCGGAAGTCCTCTGGAATTATTTTTAGAACTCTTCTTGACTTTTACTCAGAACAGCTTGGACCTGAAATTCCATTCCTTCTGAAAGTTTCGGAAGAATTTCCTCAGTACTAACCAGAAATTATTCTCGGAATGAGCTAGTAATTATCGGTATTTCCTTGAAATTTTCCTCAAAATTCCTTTGGAATTTCACTCAAAATTTAATTTTCTCGGTATTGTTTTCGGAATTATCGGAATCTCTGCAGGATTTACTAGAAATTATTCGCAGAATTTTCTTCGAATACTCCCCGGAAATCCTTTGGAAATGTCCTCAGAATTCAATAGCCTTGAAGTTCTTCTCGGATTTTTTAGAACTCTTCTAAGAGCTCTTTTGAAATTTTCCTCAGAAGTCCACTGGAATTGTATTTAAAACTATTCATGATTTTTTTCTCAGAACACATTGGAACTGAAATTCCTTTAGAGTATCAGAAATTTTTCCCGGAATGAGCTAGAAATTATCCTCGGAATTCGCTTGAAATTTTGCTTAAAATCCCTTTGGAATTTCACGCAAAATTTGATTTTCTCAGTATTCTTTTCGAAATTATCTTGGAAATAGCTGCAGGATGCACTAGAAATTATCCGCAGAATTTTCTTTGAATTTTCCCCAGAAATATTTTGGAACTATCCTAAGAATTCAATATCCTTGAGGTTCTTCTCTGAATATTTTAGAACTTTTTTTTCTCCCAACACCTTGGAACTGAAATTCCCCTATAGTTTTAGAAGAATTTCCTCTGTATTCTCCAGAATTTTTTTTTTCCAGAATGAGCTTGAAATTATCCTTGAAATTCCCTTGAAATTTTCCTTAACATCCCATTGGAATTTCATTCAAAATTTGATTCTCTCGGTATTCTTTTCTAAATTATCCTGGAAATACAAATAGGATTGACTAGAAATTATTCGCAGAATGTTCATGAAATTTTCCCAAGAAATATTTTCTTTTGGAACTGTACACAGAATTCAATACCCTTGAGGTTCTTTTCGGAAGTCAAGTTTAAGTTGTCCATCCATTCACCAAAACGTTGTAGTTTTTCTACTTTTTTTTTTTTTTTTTTTTTTATATCTTTATTAAGGAGACTTTCAGCCGTTGGCTGGCTCGTCTCCGACGGGTTTTTCTACTAGAAATGTTCAATAAAGCTTGCCCCTCCATTCACCAGAACTGTGCAATTTTTACATCAGAGATTTTCAATTCAGCTTGCCCCTCCATGCAGCAAATTGTTGCAAATCTTACACCAAAAATTTTCAATACAAACTTGCCCGAGGTAATTTTGCACCAGAAAATTTCAATTGGTAGAACGATGCAAATTTCAATAAATCAATATCAAAACGAAGAAGTTCGCAGCAGATCGATTCGTCATTTAACGTGGAACTGCTCAAGTCCTGTTAGTCCAGGGGAGTGTATATCATTCAATTGCAATCAACAATGTATTTGCAGGCATACCCGAGTGAAAAGCGGAGATCCTAGCAGACACAAATTTTCCCCACACGCCCACAATTTCCCTTTCAATCCAAAGATCATGATGCTTCCGAAGTGAATGGTAATTCGCATAGTTGCAATATTTCATCTACCTACTATTTCAGACGTTTTCTGATTGCTCTCTTCGAATCAATGTAAGAACTCTGCAATACGAAAACCCCTACCAGTACTTATCCCGAAATTGAATCTTATCCATGCGGTTGCTTCAATCTTCGAATCATTGTCTTCTTAACCGATGACACATTTTCGCCATTCAACCGTCTTTGTGCAAGTATTTTTCCTTATAGCCAATGGGAATGCAAATCTGCGTGGTTTGCATCGACGAGGCAAGCAAGATGGATCAGATTCCAACTCGTTTTCTCCCTCTCCCTCGTATGTAAAACAGGGCGCTGACTAAGTTGTTCACCCACGCCCTTTAGCAGATAAGGGCTGGGAAAATCATTCCCAGCGCGGAATTTACTACAGGGAAGACAATATGCTGATGAAGTGGCTTCGGCTCTCCAGAAATGGGTCTGATGATCATGATGATGCTGGGAATGGAATCGCTCATCCATATGCATCAACTTTTGCTGTTGATTGTGTCTTTCGACGACGGGGTTGGGTGGTGTGTGGGTTGACTTGTCTCCCAATATCACCACCCACCACCAATGGAAACAACATGTTGCTTCATCAGATCCGATGACGAGCCAGGAACCAAGAAGGAACATAATGCCGTGGTGTGTTGGGCTTTATCTAACCAAGAATGGTAGTTTCTGCTGCTGCTGTTGAAATGGCTTACATTTTGGTTCCCCAGATGATGGAAAATGACAAATGAAGATGAGTGTAATCAGCATCAGGTTCAGCATCCATCAGTGGATCTGTCAGAGGCAAACGTGAGTGTCGCTAGGCATAGAGTATGATTGTGCACTAGGGTGTTTCATTTTGAAAAAAGTGATGAATTTTTGATAGGCCACCCTCCAGTTCGATTCATAGCCCCAAAATATGAACCTGTGCAAAAAATGGTAAAGATTGATGAAGGTTTAGAGGTCGCGCCAATGATTTGGATTTTGTATGGAGATTTTGGTGAATTAGTATGGGAAATTATTGATTTTCGTTTACATTGCTCTAACTTTGGTTGTAGTTGTCCAAACGTTGAAAAAAAAAAATATGTGGTTGTCATGACAATGATCAACAAGCCTGTTGTTGTTGCGATGAAATTGGCGTTGTTGCCTTGTACATATTCATCTGTCAATTTACCCTATTTTGCCATTTTTTCACATTTTTATAATTCTTGATACGCTGCAAAACTGAGCGTAGCAACTGTAGGCTTTTTGTTTATTGCCATAGCAATAACATACTAAATTTTTTCGACATTTGGACAAGTAGAAGCAAAGTTATAGCGATATAAGCGATTTTTTAAATTCTTCCATAGTAATTCCCATACAAATTTCAAATCATTGGCGCGACCTCTAAACCTTCATCAATCTTTACCAATTTTTGCACAGGTTCATATTTTGGGGCTATGAATCGAACTGGAGGGTGGCCCATCAGAAATTCATCACTTTTTTCAGAATGAAGCACCCTATTGTGCACGCCACGACTTAGTTGGTACGTTAAAGCCGAGAAGAAGAAGAAAGCAATGTTTAATCAGTTAGAAGTCGATTTTCCGAAAACTCCGTGGGCAGAACAGCTTCCGATGGCGCTTTCCAGTTTGCGTTGTTGTTTGGTCAACAGTGAAATTCAATTTTCCCATGATTCGAAGAAGCACACAGTTTGTTCCGATGAAAAAAAATGTTTGCACAAATCGAAACACTTTTGTTGTGTTAGCATGTTGCCATAGAAGCATCTGCCGTGATCCTCTGCAAACAAGCACCACTCGCGCTCATAGGGGATTTGGTTATTCCATTTAGCGAATGGTTGCACCGTGAAATATAATTCCCTGCTTTAAATCCCGCGAAAAAAGCTGTACTTACACCGTATGTGTGTGTGTGTGTATGTCAGAGTAATCCGTACCATGGAACGCGCTTACTTCACTATTTATCTTTTCTGAAACAGCACCATCACAACCAGGCACGCATGTTGACAGACCCCACTGCTGCTGGCATGGAGCAGCAGTAAAACTTTTTCACTTATCGCATCAACCATCCGAACGAATGAATTCGATATCAGTCACGAACGACGCCGCCATTTTCGACTCAATTTCACCGTTGATCTCTACTTCATCTATCAGCCGCCTACCAGCATGCAACCCGCTCGGATGATGCTGATGCAGAGAAGGTACAGCAGGTAGCATCGGATTCCTTGCTGTGAATCGCAGAATCCACGGCGGCGTGGGAAGATGAAGTGCTCTCTCGTTATGTGTGTGCGCCTCTGCCAATCCGTCTATCTCGTTGTCTGACGGTCTGTTTGCTTGAAAAGGATATGAGTTTTGCTTGAGCTGTCTTCTTATGTGCTTCGGATGTGTGTTGCGTATGTGTGTTTATATGGAAGATGGTACGATAATGCAAGGGAGATCGTTATGTTGGCGTTTTTGCAAACAGAAAAACTACTCTTCGATATGTTGTGAATACGTTCCGTTCCACGGATTATAATGTTGTTCTTCACTTTTTTCTCTTTTGAAACAGATCTGAAACGAGAAGCAACAATATGTCACATGCTGAAGCATCCCCACATCGTCGAGCTGCTCGAAACGTACAGCTCCGAGGGAATGCTCTATATGGTCTTCGAATTGTGAGTATATATTAAAAAATGAAATAATGAATGCACAGCAGCAGTTGTAAATATTATAAACATCAGGCGGCAGCATCGTTTGTGGCTGGCAGAGCAACGAAACAATACACCAAAAAGCGAAATGATTTTGACGGTGCAGGATGTCTCCTCTGCGGGGAGTATCCTACTCTCGGCAGGGTTGCTGCCACTTATTTTGCTAGAGAAAATGTTTTGCGGAATTGTGAAATCATTAGATGTTTTAATGATATTTTGTACTTGTAAGTTATAAGTAGAGGGTGCGAAGTATGCGTTTGACACATCAAACCTGTTAATTCCACTTTCAGATAGTCACAATCAGCGATTAAACGATTCGTGAGCGATTACTTTCTGGTTTTAATCTCTTGATGTAACTTACAAGTTCAAAATATCATAACAACATCTAATGATTTCATAATCCCGAAAAACATTTTTTAAGCGAAGTGAGTGGAAGCAACCTCAACTCTCGGTAAACATTTTGAAGGAGGTTATGAATGTGGAATGAGTTTGGCTTGAGGTCTGTGACAGGTTGCTTCAAGCATACATACATAAGCCCTGATAATGGTAGATGGGTATGGGAGTACGCCCTGGGGGACGGAATGCGAAATAGTTTTTGATTTGTATGAATTTCAATTTAAGTTGATTTGAATGGAATTGGAATTTTGTAACGAAGGCGGATTGCTGTGCGATGGGCTTCAGAGGGTTTTTAACATACCCATCGTCAGAATAAGAATTTGCAAGTGAGTTTGGGGCCTCCCTTAGCTCAGTCGGTAAAGGCGCTGCTACTAAGCAAGACCATGCTGGAGGCGGCTGGGTTTGATTCCCGGTCCGGTCTAGGAATTTTTCGGGTTGGAAAATTTCTCGTCTTCCCTGGGCATAGAAGTATGATATTATTACTAGTTTTAATCTGTTGAAATCGAAATGAAATGTAAAATCATGTTGATGGGTAAATATTTTAATTCTGTTTATGAAAAAGAGAATCCAGAAACATCTCTCTATCCGCGTATCAGGTGCAACAGGGAGAGTATCTTTTGAACCGTAACATTTATGTGGTAATCGATCTGGAGGAGAATAACGCCAACTTTTAAATGATGAAAATTGAAAGCAGCAGTATGGAGACTTTTGTTTAGTTCAAGACCAAGCGTATGTTGAACGTTTGGATGCGAATCACTGCAAACTACATAAGTACGACATTCTTTGCCTAGCAGATCAGGGATGTTGGGGTAGCCCCATTTCGTGGTTCAATCGTGTCGCGTTTTGAGGAACTTTCTTCGGTATAGATGGATTACGTCGGACTGTTAACACTCCGAATACGGTGGGTAAAAAACTTTACGCCGACTACGAAGCCTCCGAAAAACGTGTAACGGCAAGTTTGCAATGGCACAACTTAGCCATTTCTTAATGAATTTAAAAAATTGTGGTACCTTTAGAATTCCTAGGGCTTCTAGATGATTTTGATTGGAAAAAACTTGAAAATAGAGTAGTCTACTTTTTTAAAAAGCGAAAAGAGTTGTTACACGTTTTTTTTAGAAAGGTGTGTTTGTAGGGTTTTGCAAATGGCGCAAGATCTGTAATTTAGATTAATGAGCAAAAATGTTCACAATTAGCCAGAATACAGTCATGGTTCTTATATATGGATCCTGGAGACAACGGAACGGTCCTCGAAAAATCCGGAACATCCGTAAAAATGGTCAATCCATGATCCTGATCCTAGAGCGCTGCGGTTTTTTTGAAAACATTAGAAACTGTGATATAAACAAATATTTGGGGTCGTGACATAAACATGTACCTGGATGGCCATGGGACCGTCCTCCGGAAGATCCGGAAGATCAGTAAAAGTGGACCATCGATGAAACTGATCCTAGCGCTCCGTGTTTTTTTTTTAACATTAGGATCTGTGATATAAGAATGAATTTGGGTCATGTACCTTGATGGCCATGAGACCGTCCTCCGCAAGATCCGGAACATCCGTAAAAGTGGTAAATCCACTCTCCTGATCCTAGAGCTCCGCGTTTTTTTTAAACATTAGGAACTGTGATGATAGAAAGAATTTGGGATTGTGACATAAACATGAACCTGGATGTCCATAGGACCATCCTCCGGAAGATCCGGAACATGGACCTTGATGGGTATGGTACCGTCCTCTGAAAGATCTGGAACATCCGTGAAAGTGGAAAATTCACTAGACTGATCCTAGAGCTCCGTGGTTTTCTTGAAAACGTTAGGAACTGCGATACTAGAATGAATTTGGGATTGTGACATAAACATGGACCCAGATGGCCATCGGACCGTCCTCCGCAAGATCCAAAAATTCCGTAAAAGTGGTCATTGTATGAAACTGACTCTAGGGTCCACGTTTTTTTTTCGAAATAACTTGGAATTGTCATATATAAATTAATTTGCGGTCGTGACATAAACATGTACCTAGAAGACCATGGGACTGTCCTCCGCAAGATCTAGAACATCTTTAAAAATGGTCAATCCTTGAAACTGATCCTAGAGTTCTACGGATTTTTTCGAAAGCATGTGGAACTGCGATACAAGAAAGAATTCGGGGTCATGACATAAACACTTACCGGAGACGAACCAGCCCAGGGCTGAAAGTCTCCTTAATAAAGATAAAAAACACGGACCATATGACCGTCCTCGGGAAGATACGGAACATTCGTAAAAGTGATCCAGAGGTTTCTTATATCACAGTCTTTAAAAAAGAACTGCAGAGCTCTAAGATCAGTTTCACAGTATGATAAATTTACGGATGTTCCGGATCTTTTGGAGGACAGTCTCATGGCCAGCCGGATCCATGTTTATGTCACGACCCTAAATTCTATCTTAAATCGCAGTTCCAAGAGTTTTCGAAAAAAAAACCACGGTTTTTTTCACAGTTTCATCGATGATCCACTTTTACGGATGATCAGGATCTTCTGGAGGACGTTCCAATGGCCATCCAGGTTCATGTTGATGTCTCGACCCTAAATTTTTCATATATCACAGTTAGAAGTGTTTCTACAAAACTACGGAGCTCTAGAAACAGTATCATGGATGGACCATTTTTACGGATCTTTCGGAGGACTGTTCCATGGTCATTCGGTTCCATGTTTATGTTAAGACTCCAAATTCATTCTAATATCACAGTTCCACGGTTTTTCGTTCTTGGATCAATTTTATGGCTTGCAATCGGGCTAAGGCCTTGTTATGCTCTGCTGTCTGAAGAAGTCGTATCCACTCTACTCGATCCATGGCCAGACTTCACCAGCCTCGTAGTCTGCGAAGGGTCCACAGCAGGCTTGCAATTGCTCATTACAGCTAAAATGCTATTTTTCGTTATTATGAAACAACGGGTTACTATAATGATAATTTTTATTTGTAAGATGCAAGAAGAGGTGGTAAAGATTGTATATGACATATAAAATTTGTCAATTTTGCTTTCAGAAGGTCACAACTGGTCCGCAGGTCACCTTCTACTTGGTCGATCCAACATGCCCGCTGCGCGCCTCTTCTTCTTGTTCCTGTTGGGGTGCTTTCGAGAACCATTTTCACTGCGTCGTCGTGCGACATTCTTACGACATGCCCAGCCTACCGTAGTCGCCCAATTTTTGCAATGTGGACGATGGATGCTTCTCCCAACAGCTGGTGGTTCATTCGCTTCCTCCACGTTCCGTCATCCAAGGGCGCGTTTGTCCTCCACGAGCATAGTCACGGTCTCGTGGCTGTAGACGACCACCGGTCTAATCAGCGTCTTTTAGATAGTCAACTTCGTGGCGAATTTTTTTTCGACCGGAGCGTCCTCCGGAGTCCAAAGTAGACACGATTCCCTGCCATAATGCGTCTTTGAAATTCTCTGCTGGTATCATTTTTGACGGTCACCAGTGAACCCAAATACACGAACTCATCGACCACCACGATTTCGTCACCGTCAATCTGAACTCGGGGTGGGAGGCTAACATTGTCTTCCCTAGAACCTCTTCCTTTCATGTATTTTGTGTTTAATGCGTTGATGGCAAGTCCAATCCACCTACCTTCAGCCTTCATTCTGATGTACGTTTCCGCCTCAAAGTTCCGTGCCATGATGTCGATGTCATCGGCGAATCCAAGAAGCTGGATGGACTTCCTGAAAATAGTGCCACTTGTGTTTATCCCTGCTTTTCTGATCACACATTCTAACGCAATGTTGAATAGCAGACACGAAAGTTCATCACCTTGCCGTAACCCCCTTCGAGATTCAAAGGGACTCGATAGTGTCCCCGATACTCGAACAACGCACATCACTCGATCCATCGTTGCCTTGACCTATCGCGTCAGTTTATCTGGAAATCCGTACTCGTGCATAATCTGCCATAGCTGATCACGATCGATTGTGTCGTATGCGGATTTGAAATCGATGAACACATGATGTGTAAGCAAGTTGTATTTGTGGCATTTCTGCAGAACCTGCCGAATCGCGAATATGAACCCATGAATCCCTGCTGGTATTGCCCAAAAAATCTCTTGCAAATGGTGACAGGCGGTGGCGTATAATTTGGGAGAGTACCTTGTAAGCGGCGCTCAGCAGTGTGATCGCGTAGTAGTTGCAGCAATCCAACCCTTTTTTGTAGATTGGGCATACAACACCTTGCTTCACTCCCCGGTAATATCCCCTCCTCCCAAATCTTGGCAATTACCCAGTGCAGCGCTCTAGCCAGTGCTTCACCACCGTATTTTAATAGCTCACTTGGTTGTTGATCTACACCAGTTGCTTTGTTGATCTTCAGTCGACCGATCTCCTCCTCAACTTCTTGAAGATCAGGGGCCAGTAGCCTGTCGTCTTCTGCACGTGCTCCAAGGTCTGTTGCCGTGCCACCTTCGTTTTCTGCTGCTTCACCTTGAGGTGCTCGTCATAGTACTGCTTCCACCTCTCAATTTTATGAAGTGACCATTTTACGGATGTTGTTGATCTTCCGAACGACGGTCCCATGGCTATCTATCATGTTTAAGTCACGATCACA